TATTAAAATCATTTATTAAAAAATGTTTCAATGCACTTTAAATTTAAAAAAATTACAAACTGTCTTCCATTTTTATATGTATCTTTGAAAGGCAGAAGATATAATTTCACAGTGATTATAGTCTTCTCTTTCTTAAAAATAAACTATTTTGAAATTTGTTAAATTATATGTAAGAAAATAGATTGAACTTATACAATATTCTGTTCAATAATACCCCTTTTAAATTGAAGAGTGAAATATTATAAGTGATTAAATGCTATGCTCTGTATGTTGTCATATGTAACTCCCCTGTAAGAAGTTGGCTTGGCTCCTTCCAAACTCAGTATTAAAAAATCTTAAGAACAAGCAGGATCAAACTTATAATTTATGAATTATTTTTTATCAAATTATATTTTACATGAAAGTTTGTCCAAAATTATCAGCTATTTTCACTTTGTTTCAACAATTTTAGAAATAACCTCTACCTTTTTACAAGATTTAAATTTTATAACAATTGTTGGCTGTAACACTTACAAATAGTTGGCAAACTAGTATTTTATGTATATTATGAATAATGTATGTCATCGAAAGTTTATAAATATTTTTCTGAGGATATACTTTACATTATTCTTTATATCATATGCTTCAGTAGCTAGTTGCTACAATAAATAAAATTCCAAGTCCAAAATATTATTAAATTAAAAAGTATTTTAATTGAGATTAATTAAGCTTATGCTGATGAATATCATAATATAATGGGACCGCATTAAAACTGTAAGATGTATAAAAAAATATAATAACATTGGCTTTTATAAAATGTGAGTGTGCCAACATTTTGCTAGTGTCACTGTCACTTTTCTTCCTGATTCTGTGACTTTGTTGAACTATTGATAAAAGTGTAATTTATTTATTGTAAATAAAAAACATATATTGCTTAAAATGTTTTATATTACATGATCTGCATTGATACACATCAACAAAATTTTGGTAAACAAACTGAGAGAATGAATCAATTTAAAGTTTATCAAGAGCCACAAAGTATATTTGGATTAATATCGTTATAATTTTCTAAGATAGTATTGCAAGTACAAAAATACAATTTTATGAATTATATGGGATGGGAATAAATATTTAATTTACAATAACAGTGTCTATTGTTTTATTAAAAGCTATTCAACCCTTACATTAAAAATTAATATATATCCTTATATAATACATAATATAATTACACTGCATTATAATATTTTAATCATTTACATTTTTGTTAGACTTATAATTCACCCTTTTGTCAAAGATATTTATCTTGCATCAAACACAACAACTAAATATTTCTTAAGGAAAATAACTTTTCATTGTATTTACTTCTACTTATTCTATTGATAATATAAAATAAATAATGTTTAACATTTACAATAATTAGAAACTCTTTATGAGAAAAGGATACGTCTCTTGGTACGTTTCTTATACATAATTCTGTATCCACATTCCCTGCATCGAATTGGATCTCTAGGTCGTATTTCATTATCATGATGACATTCTATAAAATTGAATAAAAATACATCTATAATAAGAGTACCATAACATTATAATATGCTATCATATGCAATATGATAATATTAATGTAACAGAAGTATCTATAAATAAATATTTAAAGTATAAAAGTTATATTTATTAGATATATTTTAAAAATGCACTGGATATAACATAAATAAAGAAAGTTACATCTAAATTTTAATATAAAATACAGCATTAGTATTCAATTACAGCATAAGTAAAATATATAAATATATATACATAAACATAAAGTAAAATGTACAAATACAAACTAATAGAGAGTTTTGCTGCAATTTAAAATTGTTTAAAATTCTCTCATTCAAAATAATTTTTAAAATAAGATATTATGTTGTTATTATTCATTTATAATTAAGTTTATGAGCTTTAAATGAGCACTTGATAAAAGGATGGAAAGGCTATATTAACAAAAATATGATGTTTGTTTTGAAAATAGAAAGCAATACACCTTTTCGAACAAGACACAGAAATGTGAGGTTAGAAATGTTTATCTATACTTTTAGCCATACCTCCGCAAATATAAACCATGGCCTGTTTTGGGGTTGATTCCGATTTACTAGAATCCATTTTAAGCAATGTTGTCACCAAAATCGTTAAAGTTTAAGGAAAATGCAAAAAGATTAGTTTGCCGCTTAACACTTGCTGTCACGCATGCAACACATGCAGTCTAAAACGCAATATCTTGTGTGGAAGCGTCGGCAGTGCTTCGGCCGGTTACGTCAAAGGTCGATGCTGCCGCCGTGTAATAGCTACCACACGAATCCTCCATTTGAACGCGGAGATGGCGTATGTGTGTATGGTATGTCCCTTTTTGATTTCGGATGGCAGTGAACGTGTTAAACAATGTACAAACTTAATACGTGCATTAAAATCAAATCAATATCCAAATGAAGTAAATTGTGTTTCAGTCATTTTGTTACCAAGTGAATATTGTGTACTACTTTATCAACGACTAAAAAGCTATGTCATACCATAAAATGGTAAAAATGTAACTAATTTCTTATATCTTATAAAATATGTATATATAATTTCATATATCTCGTTTAGCACAGATTCTAGAATTTTCAGGATATACATTTTTATTTAGTATCCAAAATATTCAAAAGCTGTTTTACATCGTGAATTGTAAATAACATTGCAAAAGTTAAACTAATTTGTTATACACATATGTTTATAAACTGATCTAAAAGCATCTTATTTTTATTTATTTCGTATTTAAATAAAATTTATAAATAATAAAAACGAAG